TTTGAACTCAGCATCCAAAAACACGTCTAGCAGTGTAGGTCTCATTTCAAATGGCCACTTCGACTTGGGATCCTTCCCTGGTAAGAACCTGTGGTAACTCTCTCATGCTTGTGGCACCACTGCATAAACGTTACATATACAGAACAGGCGACGGAAAACAGTAAGTTGCTACATTGTCGTACGACGACCGGACAAGTAGGTGTTGACCTACAGCATCGACTGTAAAAGAGTTAAGAGCGAGGTTTATTAACGCTAATCAATCCGGTTCCTAGAACGTGCCTCACATTCGACTTCCTTCAGAATTTTAGTGGCGTTTTTGAATGCTAAATGGCCTATACCATAACTTGCATTGGCCATCCAGTGTACAGTTCCTTGCCTTTATCCTCCTAGACGAGTCTGGTACAAGTTTACCGGCTTTCTGGAAGGATAGAGAGCTTCATTGACCTGGGGGTGGGTATCAATCCGGATTCTCCGTATCAACATGCATGTGACAACGAGCCTCTATGCACTAATCCCTGTTGCTGCCTAGAAAATTCTCAGTTGTGCGTAGCTTTTGCGATGGACAATTAATTTAAATTCAGAAAATGCTTTTCAGGGCAAGAATTAGTGATGTATCCTTTTTTTGTCAACCCCACACCGCCACCACATCCAATCGTCTACAGTACGACACCAGTCTCCAGCGTGCCTGCCGTTGCTCAACCACCAGACGATGAATCGGACGGAGAACCTGCATCAACTACAGCGACATCGCTTTCTAGGCATCCACAACATGCAGCTCCCGTTCAAGGAACACCAATTTGCTACCCACCTTATCCAATGGGTATGCAACCCTATCCACAGCATATGGTCGTACCAGCACCTGTAAATCTTACTCCCAAACCTAGTTTATTCCCTCGTTTTTACTAGTGAGAACGGTTATTGTGTGGAAACTACTCAAATGTTTTCCTCCGTTTACTTAAGTGACCACTGATAGAGACGGACAGAGAAAGAATATAGCTCACGGATGCATTTTGTAGAAACAATGTTTTATACCATTATGCTCGACGGTATACTTACCCAATACTAACCTATTGTCCATTATTTGAAATTTTTAGTACCTTACATGAATGTATTCAACTCATTACAATGATGAATACCTCCTTTTCTCCTTGAAATTAATGGGTATGATAACGGGCTACTTCCACTTACTTTTTTGTACTTACCCATGTATTACAGTGTATTCAATGGGTTATATGTAACTTGTGGCTAGGTAGCGATAAATGTTCTATTATCATAAACCAGTGCACTGTGATCGGAACTATTTCATAATGAACGTTCTCTGGCGTTTACTCTGTCTCGAAGGCAGTTTTGATAAGCGGTCAATGTGGCAAAAGTAATTCAAGGATGAAAATGTACATTGGACGGGATCAGACCGAAAGAGATGCTAAGCCGAAACGAGATAGCCGAGCGCCTGAATCAGAAAGCCTGATTGAGAACTACGCCCAAGCTAGGAAGATCCGAGAGAGTGAAATCTCCTCATGAACTGAGTAGATTTGCTATTGTATCAGTCATTTTTCGAAAGAAAACAGCAAAAAATAACGGGAGAGAACTTCTCGGGACGATATCTACCAAGGGGAACAGATTGTTTTCGATTACGCCCATCCTTAAAAGTAAGTAGAATACCTGTCAACAGCCAACAATTTGCTAGGCTTTTGTAGGATTTAGCAGAAGTTTCACATTCACAGTTCACGGTAATTTGGGGGAATCTAAATTTAAATGAATCATGGAAATAACAGTCCAGAATAGAGCAAAAAAGGTGAAGGCAAGCCAAAATCGACGTGTTTAGGGAACTACAAGGCCTCAAAAATAGTAAAATTGGACAAGAATGTGACGGCAAAAGTTGCATGAAAGGGGTACTGGGACGAGCTGTTCAGATGTTTGTACCATTGGTTACAGTAACCTGCCTGCGTGTAACGTTCGCGTCCCGATACGAATAGTGCAACCTCTACTGTTTCTGCAATGCCTTGAGAGCAGTCCGCTTTGGGTTAGTACGTCGGCTAAGCCCGCTATGGGAACCCTATTACCCCTTACCTAGACCATTTTTTGACTCGACGCGTCCCTTGTGCTATCTTTGGGGGTCACAGATTCACTCAGATGGGAATCTTAGGAACCATTTTCTAAATACTGCCTTCGAAATTCCAATCAGCTGGGTAATCCAATTTTTTGTTGGGTAAAGAAGCGTTGAATTTTGAAAGAAACTTTTCTGGTTCAGCTCGATCAGAAAAGAAATGGCTCCGTTCCAGAAACCAGATTGAAAAGTCACAGGAAATGTAATAAGAAAGAAAAAGCTCAATTCAAAGGCAAATTTAGTAACTGCTTTTCGGTAGGGACGAGCCAAAGTTTCTCTGATCCCCTGTGAACTACAGATATCACAAAAGATATAAAATTCCGTCAGACAAACATGGTTGCGGAAGGGCCGGGCTATAGAGCAGTTCAGTAGGTATTCAGTAACCGATACACTTCTAGGTACCCAAATAGTTATAGATCCAGATAGGAGTATGAACGCGCTCAGGAGGAAAGTGCCTTCGCTCGCTTGCCAAACATGCCGAAGGAGCGATCATTTACAATTAAAAGTCTCCTAACCCGTGTTTATCGCCTTCCCGGTTCAGAGGAGATCAATGCTGTGGAGCTGTCAGGCCAAATTGGGGACTTGTGGAAACTTGGACCCATCTGGGAAGCCTCTGAACGTCTGTTCGTCCCATATCTAGCAAAAATGCGGATGAAAAGTCATTATTCCTTATCTAAACAGTTGATCTTTCTTTTACAGCCGAAATTGACGTTCAGATCGATTCTACACCTAGTAGATGAGTAGCAATTACCAGTTCTCTTGGCTATTCAAAGGTACCGAAGCCCTGATTGCAATTGGGAACTATCCCACAAGTTTTCATTGTTATTGCGACCTTTTCCACAGCCATTTTGGGAATCAATGGTGCTTTTCTAGACAAAGAACCAGTTTTTAAAAAAACAATGTAGGGCAACGCTTTTTTCGACCTCTTTTTATATATAAAACCAGGTATCAAGGCAACCTCGGCCTTTACGGGTTACCCTGTATCAGTAAGGGGAGTTCCCATACATTTGACTTCATCTGAATGTCGGGAATAACTGAAATTAGAAAATAAAAATATTTTGAGTCGAACGAAATCATAAACAACTCTAAGGAAGCACGATTTCAATCGAAAACCACGTCGTGCATGGAAATTCGCAAGTGCGAATCGATTTCGACTGTTTTCGTCTCTGCGTTTCACAAAACGAAACAATGCTCGACACCTTTCGCACCTCTTCATTATACGACGCACTTTTCCACCACCCCACTTCCCACAATGGCTCATAAACTTACCTGGCTGGGGGGATCTCGTGATCAGGAAGACGGGACCCCTGTGGTGAGGCCCCACATTGCACTTTAGTGGAGGCTGACCCGCATGGCTACCCCGAGGTGGGGTCAGCTAACGGCTAAATTTTTGCGTGTGGGGCTGCGTTCGCGCGGCCCTGTTCAGCCGGAACTTGGGGGATCGGGATACTTCAGCGTGGAACAAAGCATGTTGGGGCATTTCCCAACTCCATTCATAGGTGGATGGTACATTTGCTTGTCTGAAAACCGGTATTTTTTGTTAGTGGGTACATGTGACTGTCTGTACTTTTGTAAACAAGGGTCATACGAGCGCTGTTAGCTACCACTAGTTTCTCAAATGCCGAGATTCAAAGGGTGGGAGGGCCCTGATACAATTTGTTGATGTACCGGAGACCTTACGGAGAGCCACAGACGACAATGGTACTTCTGCCTAGCAACTTCCTGATATCAATCTCCGAACCCCGTACATGTCGGCTCGTACCTATAGGCGAACAGAACAGCGGACCTATAGCAAGATGGTACACAGGAGTCATCATTTTTCAGAATTGTTAGGTATGGCATGTTGAATATAGGCCCTATTCGGACGTGGGTCTTGTTAGACTCCACTCAAGAGCCACCTATCTTTCCACCGTCAGGCCTGATCTGCGCCAACACATCTCCACACCCAAAAATTTTGCTGTCGGCTGTCAGTGCGACACCACGCAGTAAACCCATACTAAAGTGTTCTGCAGTGCTTTACCACGGGAGTTTATGGTCTTCCTGATCACCAGATCTCCGCAGCCAGGCTTGCTACTGGCCTGCTCAGGGAACTGAAAAAATAAAAGCATATCGTATTATAAACGGGTCTGAAAGCTGGACTTTGTCTCGCTTTAACGGATGAAGACGAAAAAACGCTCGAAATCAAGTTGGACCGACATGTCCAGGTATGAGTTTCATTTCTGGCTTCGCTCCTTGACAATCTCAATTTTTACTGACAGGCCGTCTCGTTTTTCTTTTTTTTTGTTTTTTTTCTGCCTTGTTTCCCCTACGATGTATATAGTGGGGGTCCGAAATATTATTCGGCTCTTATAAAGGTTATTGACAAGTTTGTGATTTTTGATGGGTCAGAACTTTTTTGATCAACAAAGAACTGTTTGCGAACTGTTGCCTGCGAATCAATTGCTTTATGGGAAGGGAGGACACACTGTAGTGGCAGGTGGCGTGCTATCACATGTGCATGTACTGGGAATCGACCCAGATTGATATTCGCCAAGACTAATCAACCCTTCTATTCTACCCCCGTCCCCCCCCCCGTCCCTGAGATGCTGAATGGTGCCTAGGCGCATCCTTGAAATTGGTTAACGCCAAAGACTTTACCACTTATTCTCACTCAACATTGAACAGCGCTGCTCAGCACATATGAGTCTGGGGAATCCCAACTTCATGATTTGCTATAAGAGGTCCGGAGACCAGGAAGAAAAGGCAAAGGTTGGGGCCTATGGCCAGATTATAAGGGATGGAACTCAGTTCAAAAATTCATTTCTGTTTGATGTCTTCTTATTGTGACACACGCGTTAGTGTGTGGAGTCAAACTGGTACCTGAATATATCACTCATATCTATGATGCTATAATATCGCGGATTTATTATTAAAAAAGTTTTTGAAGCCAAAGATATGCAAAAAGTCGACTTTCCTGAAGAAGTCCCGATGAAAAATACATGGAGTGATCAATTCATTAAACTAACAAATGGAGTTATATTGGGTCAAATGAGGAAACGTAGGACTGCACTGGAGTCAAATCTATGCAAAATGTTCAAAAGGAGCGAGGTGATCCAAGTCGCAAAGGAAGCCCTCCAAGTGGGAAAATTAGAGGGTGTTAAGTATCGTTTTATGACAACTCGCGAAACTGAGCATTTCATAAAGATACACCACCGACAATCGTTTTAGGGCCCAGTAAGCATTACCTCAGTTCTTTCAGGGTGACAACAACAACGGCACTTAATCCTCATCTTCTTACCTATACTTACATATATTTTAGTGGAAAGGGCGGTTCCGGAGTGTCCAGTGCGGGCGGAGGGTCCGGGAACTTCTCCCCTTACACGGCGTCGCACACGCCGCACCCGCCGCCTATCGCAGGATTGCGATGGAAGATTGGAGCGCGCAATTTGTGAGGTAGAGAGTCCTTTAATTATTTGAATTGGCTGGCCGCTCTTTCCATTTCCAATGCGGTCTTGATNGTCGTTTATATAGGAGGAGTCATTTTAATTAATCAAGTCTAATAAACATGTTAACTAAAAAGAAACAGAAGAAAAAACGATAAAATCCAATGAAAAAGCAAGCCAGTCAAGGAAAAATATCGCGTCCTATCGATTGGCGGGAGGCGGGGTGAGTACGGTAACTGCAGTGATATTTGCCGCATGCCGCAAGGGAGAATGCCTCGATAGGGGAGAAGTTCCGTTACCCGCGGGCGGAGGACGAAAATACTAGTGCAATCTTCTCTTATGATTTGTTATTTCGCGTCACCCTTCTAGCTGACTTCTATCCTCCTAAGGGCGACCGATTTCAACAATCTAATAGGCTATGGAATTTCAAGCTTCGGTCAAATAAACATAGTCTCACGAAATCTCATACAATTTGAAGAACTCCTTTGAAGCAGCTTATTGGCTCACATGCGGGCAGAATCTCCTGCTTGTTTTTGTCTGTTCTCCTCATCTGGCTTGCAAGTCTTGAAGTATCTAACCTTGCTCAAGTTCAGATTTTGTGAAGAAGCATAATACCACGTTTTTCTAGCCAAAATCCTTTGAATCTTCAATGAACCATGTTGATTCCGGAAAAGAAATGAAAGAAAAATGACAGTGTCAAGGTAGTATGGTACGAAAAGACCTCAGATGTGGACCTTGCAGCTTAGAGCAAATAGGCCTAAGGCCCACTTAACAACATCAACTCACTTTCTCGACCTGAATGGCAATGCTCGAGAAGACTCATGGCAAAGGTGAGGGAGAACGAGGCCTAACTTCTTTTTTTCTGCGCTTTCCCTTATAAGTCGAGTTGTACGTACAGGATGATTAAATGAAACATGGGAAGGGGACTAACATAAGTGTGAATGTAGTATGTTGTAAAAAAACGATAGCACAGATGTTGATCCTGTACATGGTTCAGAGCAAATGGACTTAAGCTTCACTCGCCAACCTCAGCTCCTCCTCCGATCACGAAAGAGTGTGTTCTAGTATTACTTATCGAGGGGGAGACAACTGGTGATAAAGATCTACGAGCAATTTCTACTTTTATGTGTTATCCCTGGCAAATCGAGCTGCTCAGACACGGTGACCAGATAACTCAAGCAATCGTTACGGGACAGTGCGAGCAAGCTGAGGAAATATTACGGAGGAGGTGCGTGTCCACGAAGTGGAACGGTAGCTGCGATTCTGCTCAACTATCAGCGCGAACCACTTTTTCCAAAGAACACCCAATCATACAGCAGCCCTCGTCTGCTGTAGACCGATGTATTGTCATTCTTTGCACAACTATTTTGTGTGTCTTTCGTTCCATAGTAATGTCTCTTGATATTTGGATAAGATCAGTTTTTTCGGTGACATTCAGGTAAAGGGTAATACATATATTTCAGGTCTTATACAGAAGCAGTGTTGGAGCGCGATCCGCTGCATGAATACTGTAAGCCTGTGCAGAAACTTCCGCCCACTTTCGGGACGCTCCGCCCACCTCGGGTTGGTCTCCTTTTTTTTTTTGTTGGCATTCACCTTCGCCAATTATTTTTCCCGGCGTCTGGGCTGTAACGAAACCAATGGAAATGTTTTTAGTGTCAACGCCCCTTCCTGTGCATGTCCCGCCCCCCGTGGGCTGAGCCGTGCCGATCTCACTCGTGCTGGATAATCGCTCATAACTGCTTAGAGAGTGCAAGCATCCAAATGATACATCGGGAAATCTGAAGTTCTTCCACTGAGAACAATGTTAATGGTTATTAGTATATGATTTCCTTGATTGACATGCAGGAGTGGCTAGAGTTTGTGGCGGATAGAATCGTTACTGTTTCCTGTCAAATGTTCGTTCAGTTTCAAAATGAGATTTAATGGTCGACAAGATAATTTCAGTAGGCCTCCACGAAGTTTTTTGAATGAATTCGATTACTGCGCAGTCAGTTTATTGAATTTCATTGTTGTTATTATTTAAAACTGGGGCATTTTTCAGTGGATTTGGCGAATCCGACGCGTTTGTTTCCGTGATCGAAAACGGTGTAGAAGTTACGAAGGAAGACGTCGCCAAGAATCCAAGTAGGTCCTGAAAACTAGTCGTGTTGATGTCTTCTGAAGATTTACCAGAAGGGCGTACCCATCCAACTTGGGAGGTCGAATGCTGTGAAGCCGAGTTGACAGGTCTGGTTGTTCTGAAAAATTGGTACATACTGCTGCTTTCTCTTCGATTCTGAAGCACCCTACCGACCCTACCGATCAATCTTGTGTAAAGTCTCAACACAACATATCTTCAGTACCTGGAGGACATAATCGGAACCTTGAAGAACAAAGTCTTGACCACCAAGAGTGAATATAACTGCTGGCAATTTTGAGATATTATTGCATTCGATTTGGTACATGCCTTCGGTACCATTTGTGGCCCCCGCTAAGGAGAATACATTTTGAAGCTGGAAGTTGGAGAGTAATTATATTCAAATGCGCAGTCTAATACCATTAAACGTCACCTTCTTGATAGCATCAGTAGGTCCGGCAATGAACGATGTGCCGGTATCAACGATGCCGTTCTGTGTTCCATTAGTTATCGTCGTACCTCTGACATACACCGATCCCAAACTTATCGTCCAATATACCTCGGCAATCAAAGGTATCCATGCTATTTTTCCCTTTAGATAAATCGTTATTTCCGATTCGAAACTTACTGTTGAAAGTGTGAACAGACCTTGTAATGCGCAGGATCTGTTCCGCATATGGTCAATTCTCCAGCTACACCTGATCCGTTATTGTTAGGGACCATGTAAAAAGCGAAAAGAGCTTCCGGGCACATTGTCTACAATTAAAAAAAGCAATTATGGAAACTTTGACAAACTGGAAGAAAAGCCTCCAGTGTTTGGTCGTCACTCTTAATGTGAAGCTGATCAAGCAATTATAATAACTTGTAAATGGTAAGTTCTTCTTTTACTTGTGAGTTTCACCCCAAAAACCCAGATGATCAGACTTCTGAGTGAGCTGTGTATAGCTATTTGCTCTATTATATATGTTAAAGGGTTCTAGTTCGCTCACTTCACCGTATCGTTGACACCATACGCGGTGACCGCAAATAATCCTAACAGGCATCGCTGATATTGTGACGCTTGAAATAAGTAAGTAAGCAACCAGGTTTGAGTCGCTGCCTTTTTCGTTCTAATGTAGCTTCGCTCGGCCACCTTCCCAGGACCATCTTGTTTTTTTCTTCTTCAAGTATTGAACAGAAGGTATTATAGGAGATCACCACGGCATCAACTCTTCCAGCTTGCAAAGTCTCTAGTAAAAGGACAGCCGCCTTATAGGATCATCTTGTGCCAAGAAGTAGTGTCTGACGTGTTTTCCATTCCCTAAAAACTTCCTTTAAGTGTTCCTTTCCTTTTCTAGGTCGGTTGAATGATCGTCTAGCTTTATGTGCGATAGCTTTTCTGCTTATTATCTAGGCAGTGAGGGTCGATGATATTGGTTTTGCACGTAATTGATTTTGTGCTGATATCTTCCTAGCTTTGCTATGCTTTTCTGGTGTGAGTCGAGTCCGAAATAAAAAACTACTGTAGCGAATGCTACTTCGTACATGGAGAGGTTTACTTACTTATTGAGTTTATCATATTATAATTACATCTAATTGATATTGCTTTCTGGGCCCATAGCTAGTGACTAATCTAGGTTTTACAGGACATGGCACACTCCATAGCCACCTGCTTTAGACTTCTTGCTGCGTCAGTCAGTCCTCCAGCTGCAGAAGTCGTATAAATGGGGACCAAATCTGGAGACGGAGCTTCCGCTTTTCGCTCTTCAGCTCTGCCGCTATCGGATTGCTACTGTTCAAGTGTCACCATCGTGAAAGAACCCCTCCCTTTTACGGCCATCAAGGACGGCAGATCCCAGCAATATTGGACGCGCTGCAGATTCAGTTCGTTACCGTTATTCGCTATAGTTGTAACAATAAATTACTAGTATTACTCTGATTCAGTTTGTTGTAGAAGGACCCGCGTGGCACAATATCGGTATCGGCCTAGTGTACCTGTTATATAGGTCGGCGATATAGTTGGTATACCTACTATACAAATCTAGTGCAACGTACATTACAACTACCTTATTGGCAAAGATTTGATCTAGCGGAGGTGAAATATTGTCCACGGCATTTGACTTCCATGCCATGCCGAGAATACCGTCGAATACATTGGTCTGAAACGCGAGGAAGTCGTATCGTTGTTCCGGCTTTATAGCATGTCTCACTTACTGCAAACTCGCCGGATGCAAGGAAGGCGCAACCGAATCCTTGATTCCTGTTGGTGCAGTAACTTCCACAGCCACATCCAAACTACAGAAATAAAGCAGTTCCAGTGAATGATAGGGCGAGGAAGCTGGACTCACACAAACAACATCATAGCCGATGAATCCTTCAACGGTGCCGCTCCCATATTGGATCTCAAATGGTTCCTTCGTTGTGTTGCAAGTTGTTGAAAGATGATAGTCGAACTGAAACAAAATCCGAACAGAGACCATAAAAGAAGAACACTAAACAGAATACTTCAACACTTACAACACTTCTCACCTTACGATGCTTTATGCAAGACTCTTGGTGGGGATCGCAGCCCATGCATGGAACCCAGAGATTAGCGGAACCGGTGTCGAATTGCACGAGAAACTGCTGAGGAGGAGTTCCAATATAGATATTACCATAATAGGCTATCTTAATATTGAGCACTTTGAGTAGTTGTGAAGCTAAGATGCATACGAGAGCTTTCTTACATTCGATGGTGAATAGAAGAGTGGTTCACTGAAGCCGGTCGCATTTTTCGAGGCGAGCAAGGTGCCTTGAATATACTTACGCTCCAGAAATTCAGCAAGTGCCTTCCCATCGATAGGGGTCTCCGTGTCGGTCCATTTCAGCAAAGGAACACTAAATCGATGGGCTTTACACATCGCAATACAGAAGTGAGAATTGTTGTACTCACCGCGAAAGTGCCTTGATGGTAAGGGATGTCGCAAGGAGTATAAACACGAGTCGTTCTCTCATAATCTTCTAAAGGGATTAAATATTTCGACGAAAATGAGCCATCATTCCAAAACGCTCAATCATACAGTGCGTTTCATAATTACAAGGTCACCCCAGATTTTTGCGATTCTGGAGAAAGCAGCAGGAATGGGATTTTTTGGCAAACACTGGAAGATTCCTCGTTACAATGTACCTTCGTGCTCGAATTTTGGTCGCAATATCCTTCACCTCAAATTTATTACGAATTTTTTGAAGATAGTCTCATTTTATCCGAAAAGACGATCTGAATAGGAATTATTCAGCTCTATGATGAGATACTGATGCAGATCTACCTTTGCCCAATCTCTCCCTAGGCTCATCTTTGCAAATCCGAGACGAGCCTCTCCGTGGCGATCGGTGATTCGTGGCGATCGGAGATTCGTGGCACCTTCTCCATTGTTTGCCTGGTGACGTCCTCGCTGCTCTCCAAACTGTAGTTTTCGACACAGAGAGGTTCAATTCCGATCGGATCTGGTTGAGGAGGATGTACTGTTGGAAACAGTCCTCAGAATTTTCCGCTCGTCACGGTTAGTAGTCTTTCATGGGTGTCCACAGTCAGTGTTATATCTAATGACATGAGGACTCTCCCGAAATCTCCGAATGGACCAAGGGGATCGCCCTATTTGCCTGGAGATTGCTCGAGTACTGAGCCCACCTTCATGATGAGCATTCTCATCAGAGGAAAGCAGATGACCACGAGCCATGTTGACAGCCAGGTTTAGAAATGCTTTTGCTACACATGCTTACCTTTACAAGTATCTTCAAACACGGAATTTCCTTTCTTTCGTTAATAATTGTTCACTTTCTCGGGATGAGCTTATAATTATGAAACGGTGCAAAAATCAACAAACTATTCCAAAAAAGTTCAGAAAAATGCAGCTGCGGCTAGAAAACGGATACCTAGGTTATTCGTGCTGGGGTATCCGTTCATGATCCTACTTACTATAAAGCGCTTCGTCTGTCTGTCTGTCTGTCTGTCTGTCTGTCTGTCGTTCTGTCTGTATGTCTGTCACGAAATTCCTTAACTCCTTTAGGTCTGCCTGGAAAGACCGGGTCAAGCGTGGGTTGGGTGGGCCATGTCCTCAGAAGTATAAAGCACGCATCAGCCCGGCGAAGCCCCGCCCACAGTGGGCGTGGCGCGCATCGAAATGAGCTGGACTGAGGACCATGATTTCAAATTCAGTCACAAGACGACCTCAAAATTGGGGTTCAAAGGTGGTTAGAGGCGTGCATTGGTAGGTTAGATCAAACTGGGGAGACCCACCCCGATGGGCGAGGCGTTCTCCAGAAATGCAATGTTTTATGAAAACGTTTATAACGCGGTTTGGAGAAAGCCAACAAGCAGAAAAAAGTTGATGTAGGAGAAGTTTTGTCAAAGGTGTCTTCAGCATAAATGACGTCAGCGGGGGTCTGCCCAGAATGGGCGTAACGTGCCTCGAAGCTCGCATCGTTTCTTATATTTATATACGAAAACCCATAACTTTGGTTCCCATAGACCTAGAGAGTTCGAATTTGGTAGGAGTACAGGCGGCATGATGGGAAAAACTTATGGTAGGTGGCAAAACCGGACTCCGCCCACAGGGGGCGGGTCTTGTGTGGAATTCCATAAGTCCTGTCCTCATGGACCTAGAAAGGTCAAACTTAGTAGGAGTACGGGCGCCAAGATGGGAAAAGTTATGATGGGTGGTAGAACCAGACTCCGCCCACAAGGGGTGGGGTTTGGGCGAAAATTCACATTTCCTGTCCCCATGGACCTAGAAAGTTCAAACTTGGTGGGAGTACAGGCACCATGATGTGAAAACTTATGGTGGGTGGCAAAACCGAACTCCGCCTACAGGAGGCGAGGTTTGAGCGGAAACTCACAAATCCGATAAAGGTCTATAATGAAAATCAGCTCATGCGGCCCTGTCTCTCACGGCTAGAGCCCCTAGCGCGCGCGAGAGCGTGCGTAGCCGCCTGGTGCTAGAAAAAATCCTTAATTATTGCTTTTCTTGAAAGTGCAAAATTTGAGGGTGACCTTATAATTATGAAACGCACTGTATTGCCCCTAAAAGGGACCAGGATCCCGTCTAGAATTCACGCCATGCTGCTATTTGTCAGGGACCCACGGTCAACTCATTCTTTTTTTGTAAATTAAACCGATGTTTGTAGTGGTGATCTCTGGCCCACATGGAATGGGTTTAAAAGGAGTGGAGCGGTCTAAGATTTATCGTTCCAGAAGAAAAGTAGCGCAGTTCCTGTCAAGGCCCTAAAATCGTTTACTCCTCATGGGATATCAACATAACCTACAGAGATCTTAAAAGTGGTCTAGTGGAGAATTAATGAAAGAAAACAAATTTAACAGAAGATAAACAAAAAAGGAAAAGAGGGGAAGTGGTCGGGAACATGACAGCATCCTGATCAGAGTAGATGATCGCAAAAAATGGTTCAGGTGCCATGAGAATAAGGTCGTTTAGGCCTTATCATCTGTTTCAAATCTTCGCAGTTTGTTTGAGGTGTGGTATTCAACTGTTGAGGTGCCGTTTTGCTGGCAATAGTTGTGAATAAATTGCTGGCAGCGTGTACTTTTCGCAGATCGTCTTCACACACGTTTATCCATTCTTTCCATTCATGATGCTCAGATTTCCTGCTTGTATCCATTTATTGAGAGCTCTGTCCATTAGAGAGTGCTTGCATTCTTTAAAATCTCTTTAGTTGAACCGTTGCTCCTTATGCTCCAATCTGATCCTGGGGGTCAACAAGTGATTTTTTGGTCAGAGCTTAAATAACAGAAATGAGCATCCTCAGGTAGTAGGTAGTCCACTGAGGGAGATTTGCCTATATGATAGTCTTCTTCATAACGACGGCAAAGGAACCGTCAACTTCTCTCGCTGCTATGTATGGAACGAATATTTCTTCTTGAAACTCTTAGGCAATGGATGAATCTTTAAGGCATTAGAATCGTTTCAAATTGTTATTTTATAGTTTTACCGAGTTTTAAAAGAACCATCTTTCTTGTAGATAACAGTTTTTGATCGCTCACCTGAGTACGCTCACTCAAAAGGAAGTAGATGTGTAACGGGTGAGCATACCCTGTTCTTCCAGCTAACCAGATACCACCATTATCCATTTCATGTGTCGTCTTAATGATCATCACTTCCTAGAGCGAACGGTTGTTTCGCCCTCATTAGTCCCTGCCAAGGTACTCCAATTAACATTTTGCCCAAAAACATTGAGCGGGTCAGTCCCTTCATTCAGAGCTTTCACAGAGGAGATTGAGCATCTGGGGAGCGGTCGGATTTGGTGTTCTTTTTGGATATCAGTGAACCAGACGTGCACCGCCATGGTAATCAGTATCGCGGGGGTGTCTCAGATACCTTGGTATGAAAGGCGGTACCCCCGATCTTCAGTGATTGACTACGCTTCTCCAAAGACCTCCTAACCCTTGATATGTCACACAATTCCGAACAGGGTTCTTTCTATTATATTCTAAGTAAAATTAACTAAGCGCTCATTTACCAGAGTCTGAGTCCAAGTCTCCTGGACGAACATTGGCGAAACTGAGAAGGAAGGCTCGAGACCTGCTACTATTCGGCTTCTCTTAGTGCCACTCACATACATTTAATCAGTTTTGGAGCTGAGGCGTTTATCAATTTCCTCACCTGTGTCATGTCGCTGGATCTTATAAAGGTCTGTAATAATGAAAGCAAAGGATTTTTCAAAGAAGAGGTTAGTTTCATCAACATTGTTTTCATCGAAATTTGCTTCAAACTAATCTTTCGACGTGCCGTTTAGTAGAATTTCGGACCATCCTACCAGTATAAAAGAACTTATTGAGAGCCTGCCACAAATGTCTGTATGACTGGAGCCGCCAACATTGCGTAGTTTTGGCCCAGACCACATTAACTCATAATTTTAAAAAGGTCCACCGAGCTTTAAAATCCTTGTTTGTTATTGTTGCTCTGTTGTGTTTGTTTGAGGCCTCTTTTCTGCTGCGCCGCCGAATGCTCTTCACTAACAATCGCCATAGTTACAGTGTATTTCAGCAGTCCGATGATAGTAACAGAACCATGCAGAAAATTTCTAGTTCCAAACGATTAGGATGACCGATATTCGATCGCCTTCCCAATGTAAAGAACCAGTGACAATCCTTGAAACTAAACGCAGCGGTTCTGGTGCGAGTTTAATGTCTTTTCAAAAGAGAGCTTCTGCAAGACAAGCGGTCTATATGAATCTTCTTTGAGAATATATCGGAATTGGAGATCTGCATGGTTGTTGATATGATTTGAGACTGATTTCGTTGGTTGAAGTGCGAGAAGAATCTTATACAAGGATCATTCTTGTGTAGGCACACAAAGAAAGGAATGTGGCTGATCCTGATGTGCCGAGAGAGTGAATTATTTGATGCAAAGATAAAGTGAGGAATCAAACAACAGTTCTGACAATGAGAGCTTTTTGAGGAAAGCAGATGTTTGAAGTGGGATCGTGAAGCTCTTATATGGACGATCCGAAACAATGAATGTTATTGTGTCCTTTCACACTAGGTGGCGTTATTAGTTTTCGTCCACTGCCGAAATTTAACTTTTTTTTGTTTTGAAATGGCTATTGCGAAAGACCCTTGACATGTAGGAAAATATGATCTGGATGCTATAGCCAGAGTGGGGTGTAGCTGAATAAAGGAAGAGAGGTGAGGCGTGGTGATCATGGTAAACGGAAGGTGAGTCGATCACCTCTACTGGTCACACTGAGGAGTTTCACTACAGTGCGCGTCAATTGCATATGCCATCCCCTATTTTTTCTTTTATCTGAGTTGTTAGGCAACATTGCGAGTTGAAAGGTTGACCAACACTTACTGAGTGAACAAGAGTCTCAATAAAGCCTAAACATATTTGAACGCGGCGGTCGCGCCCTTTTTTTGGCGGGAACGTGAAAATTAGCCGCGTCAATTGCTTATGCCATGCCGTCATTGCTACGAAATATCTCAGGTCCGCGCAGCCCTACCGCCTTCTGTCCAAAGCTGTCCTGTCCGCAATCCAAAGCAGTCCACCATGCCTAAGGGTCGTCGTCTATCTTCAACAGAACAATGCCAAATTCTATCGCTTCGTCATGCAGGCCATAGCAACAAGGCCATCGCGGAACAACTCGGCCGATCCAGACGCTGCATCGACGGTTTCATGAAGAATCCTGCGGCATATGGTCAAGCACACGGAGGAGGACGTCCACTCATATTGACACGAGCCGACCACAGACTGATCCCTAGATTGGCTTCCAATTCAACCATGAGTGCCAATCAGATCCGTGCACGACTTTCACTAAATGTGTCGACTTCCACTGTATTGCGAGCTATTCGTCGTCAAATATTCTTGAGGAGGGAGAGGGTGAAGCCAGCACCCCGTCTGACCAGGAGCCATCGCGAAGCCCGACTCGAGTTTGCGAGAAAAATTTTTTCAAGAAACTGGAGTAAGGTGAGGGTTTTGACTTATTTTAGAAAGTGCATTGCTAAGCTCCTTACATGGTTTAGGTGATTTTTTCCGGTGAAAAGAAATTCAATCTGGGTGGTCCTGACGGGCACGTTTATTACTGGAGGATCTACGAAAGGAGCCTAGGATTTTTGCGAAACGTGTATTCGGCGGAGGAACTGTTATGGTATGGGTGGCCTTCTCTTCTTATGGAACGCTGGATATGGAATTCATCTCCACGCACATGAATTCGCAAGAGCATCAAGATATTCTTCAGCGCAGTTTGCTTCCTTACCTCCACGTTCATAGGCGGAAAAAACTCGTTTTCCAACAGGGTAACGCTCCTGCGCACTCCTCGCATTCAACTTTGGAGTGGTTAGGGGATCACCATGTGGATGGATTGGACTGGCCTCCATGCTCCCCGGACCTGAATCCCATAGAGAATCTCTGGGGTATCTTGGTGCGCAGGGTCTTTGCCGGTGGGTCCAGTATGACAGTGTTTCTTCGCTGAGAGCAGCCATTCTAAGTGCATGGAACTCAATTCCAGAAAATGTAATTCAAAATCTCGTTGACAGTATGCCAAATAGAATCCTCGAAGTTATTCGTAAAGTAGGTGGTCCAACTAAGTTTTAATGTTTTACCAATTGTGCTTTTTTCTGTTTTTTCATTATGTGTTGAAGTATGGCATATAATTTTGACGCGGCACATTTATTAAAATGAACTCTAAAAATGAAGCTGTTCCTCTGAACAGGTGTATGTCTCGTATATGTGAGTCTCTGACACAGTCCATTGTAGTGCAGTATGTCACATGTGACAGAAGTGGGTAGGAACCGAGATGACAGGAAAATGTGGGGGTGGCATAAGCAATTGACGCGCACTGTATGGCTAGTACTGTTCCGGTCTACGTTTACTGTTAAACCCTGCAATCGGGAAATGTTCTAAGTTACCTGTAACACTCAAACAAACGTCTCTCTAGAGCATAGCATCACTTGTATCACCTATCGTCCAGTCGGTCACCGACTGCGCTCGTCTGCATTCGCCGCTTTCGCGAGCCGGGACAGACCAGTGGATCGTTTTCGCTCGAAGGACGCGAGGTATAGCAATTTTGCTCAAACAAGAGCTCATGTAGAAGCTGGGTATCCTGCTAGCGCCCCTGCTTGCTACTCGTTGGACTTTCGGAACCGCCAATCATCACCCTCTTCGGCGGTCATCATCTTTCCCCTAATTTTCGACTCCCAAGCGTGAACAATGGCATTAATTATCTTCAATAGTTGGCAGATCGTGGGGTTCCGGATTCGACTCTGCAATTGAGTGTATCGGTTAGTTCTGAGATTAGCCTTGTCCATCCATCAAATACCTGCGTTGCGCTAACGAGTGATTAGGTTCACTCGTTAGCCCGTCTTTCCGCAGGCGCTGTCTGATGTAGGGGATGATGTAAGTAGCGGTCGTCGACTTTTACTAGGTCTTCCCATCTGGAATGACGCATGATCATTGAAGACTGAGTCATATGGTATCCACCTTACCGAGCCTCTCTTACATGGACAACGACTTCCTTCTAGAATGACGCAATCCTGATCGTGAAGTTGTCGAAGAGCTCACAAAGCATCCTTATCTATTGAGTAAAAACACCTTTGTTGCTCAGAGCTTCAAATATTGCTTCTGTCTCGACAGTATGAAAGGCCTTCTTCAAATCGACGAACATAAGACATAGCGGCATTTTGTAATCGCGCGATATTCGAGAGAGCCTTGTAAGAGAGTGGATTTGATCGATTGTACTAAACCCTTTCCGAAACTCTGCATGCTCGCATGGCTGTCCTTCATCTGATATACTACCTATCCTGTTCAGGATGGCGCGTTTGAAAAACTCGTAGATTACAGATAGATTGCAGACAGCAGTCAAATTGGGCAATGGTTGCCATTGAAGTCTTAAATTCCTTTCTTTACAACAACGCACTCTTGCTTTTTTCACGACCTGGACTGTGATAAGTAAAGTTGAGCCGAATCTGAGTTTTGACCATAGCTGATGTACTACTCGTCAAACGTTCTAGTTCAGTTCACTAAGCACCCTTCAATTCTTCCCCCTTCAATGTCGCAGTTCGGAAAAGGGATTGTAGGAACGACATATCCTCCCTGCCAAAGATGATAGGTAGGTTGGAGGAAGTATAGTTAAAGTTTTCGAAGTGGGAGTAGAAGTCGTAAATGGCTTGATTCGTATCTCTTTGATATATGTATAACTGTCCTGTAAGAGCGAATGAGAGAAGTTATCTCGGTCTTGCTACCGGCGTAACTCTGAAGGTCAGTGATCCCAACTGATAACGTTTTGGGACTTCGTATACTGTGCAGATCTCTTTTTCTCCATGCATTGCAGAGAAGAGTCCAAGGCCCAGAAGATGATGGTTTAATCCCGTATAGATCTCCGGAACAAGAGCGATGTCATTCAAATGAAATTGTCTGATTGGAGTATATAAATTTCTGGGTAGGCAAAAATTCATCCGACAAAATTCGTAAGCTACTGGGTTGTAAGCGGTTCCCTCCCAACTCAAGTGTATGTGAGTATCTTAGTTCATTTCCCTCTTTTTTCAATTTGACTGCTATTTACTAAGATCACGCTTCTCTACGCAATACCCGCCCTTACATTCCACTACTCCCGATCTAGTCCTACCACCTACCATCAGTGCTCCCAATTGGTCCCCTATATTTCTACAAAATTTGAGCGCTCTAGGTCCAATTTCACTTTCTTCGCTCGCGATCCACTTCGCTCGCGATCCATCCCATTTGGGCAGAGTCTATTTCTGCCAACCGTCATCAGTGTCCCATCATTCCCGAATTCTTATCAAATTTGAACGCTCCAGGTCCACGGGAACAGCAGTTATGAATTTCTGGTCACATACACAACACTCACGGACACAAAAACACAAAGACGCACTTACCATGTTATAAAGTATCTCTTTGAGTTCATTCGAGGTATACCACGGCAATTAAGGCTGCATGCGAAACTCTGGTGAGTTGATTACAGTAAAGCACGTTTTGCAGCAAAACCGCCATAGTTCGTCTCCCCATGCATCTGCATTCTTTACACTTGGCGTGTTTGTCTTACGTGTTATTCCCTTATCCTCATCTGTGAACACAGATAGGCCCCTATTAAGAACAGAGTGTGGCCTGCCCGGAAATATCTTTTCATCCGCTTCCTCTGATCACCTTGCTCTCATCTGTGAACATGGATAGGCGCTTGCATAATCGCAAGGGCGACTGCTGGCTCTTAGTCTTTAGTCCTATACCTACCTTCCAGAAGACATGACATTTTCGAAAACGGCGGAAAATTTGAAAGGGATGATATTGTCCGCAAACTGGTGGCACTGGACATTTTGACCATTGCTAGGGCGTTCAAGAAAGAAGACCAAGTATAGGGTGGTGTGGCATACTCGTCTGTTTCCAGCCAAAAAGCATTCACCCATGGAGTCGGAGTGAACCACCCGGTTCCGAATCTGTCGTCATGGTAAGCATCTCTCTGAAAAAGAACAAATTTAGGTAAGAGTTATGCATGAAGCCTGGCAATAGAATCGACAAACAGCACGTCAGCTTGGGCGCTATCCTTCATGTATTGAGAGATGTAATCGAAATCCCGGTGTTTGGAGCTCAGTTCCAACAAACTTATGGCCTCTAGGCTTGATATCTCAAAGCACAGAGCCCCAATAGTCTCAAGTTTTACCTCATCTTCGAAACAAATTCGCGCTTCAATGGGGTTATCGGTTATGGGGAAGACGATTCCGCTGTCCATTCGAATTCGATGCCTGAATATCAACGAAACATCAGATCACACCTGAATGTAAATAGACTCTGCGTTGGAATGAAAGGCACAGAAGATTGTTATGCAAAATATGGCCAAACATCTGCCTTCAGAGGGAGATGGCTGTAGGAGTGACTGTTCTCTATGGACAATGCTTCGCTCTCGTAGGGAAGCACAGTCGCTGCGAGCGTTTTGGAACGAGGACACTCTCGAATCCATTATACTTCTTCAGCTTCATTGTACCGCCCTGTGTAATGATTGCATGAGTCACCTGAACACCGTGTGTATAAGGCTCGATTTATAGGGGAATAAGTAAGTGTAATGGAGCTTTGTGGGCTCCGTTGTATAAGTGTGTGTAAACTGTAGATTTACTCACCCTTTATTGGCGTACAGCACAATAAGATAGGCGGGAAGATAACCGGGTCGGTGCCCTCGTCGATGAAGTAGTCGAAGAATATACGATGAAAACCACAAGCGACCAAGTGAACACTTATATAGGAATTCTGAGCGCGCCCACAATTGATTGCGCGGGAGTAAACGTGTGGACAAACAATTGATCAACAGAATGATCACGAACCCGAATTAGAAACAATAACAGTGCAATAACAGTTAATACAGGTAAATCGTTAGTATGGAGGAATTGTGTTGGGGGTCCATCCTTTACACGCCCCCCTTTCGGGAAGCCGACCCCGACGGCTTGTGTATCCGACAGCGATTTGTTTGCTTCATCTTGTGCGCAACTTCGTGACGTTTCTGCTTCACATCTTTTACATAGTAGGCTTGGAATCCGTGATGTTTCTTCTTTTCTTTTTCCACTGCGGTGGCGTCCTTGCTGGCGGTGTTGTTGACGTTGACTCGAACTGCGGTAGTACTAGCACATTTGAAGCGATGTCGGCGATCTGGTTTAAAAATATTTTACATTGCCATGGCATGAGTCTGTCTTCGCCTTTTCTGGGCTGGATTCCGAGACTTATTGCGGGATGCTTTATCGGGATTTCTTCGCCGATGGTGCTGTAAAAGTCGACTATTCTTGCCTCGAACCCTCTCGCAGGCCCAGATAAGAACTCTGCCATCTTTTTACAGACTGTTCCAATGAGTCTCCATTCAGATTCCCTGCTCATTCCGAACGGAGGCGGAAACAACTCCATCGTCCCGCCACATTGAAGATGTCTTTCCACAGCATGCTGTACAAGGAGCATATGCTGTGTATTTGGAACTTCATTCCGCCATACCCAGACAAAGGCAGATGAAATACTTTGCTTTTGGAGCTGGTCCGCCAGGTCCCCGAAGTGGCTGTACACAATGAATTTCACTGTTGCGGGCTCCAAAAGGTCAGTCATCACTCTGGCAAACTGTTTGGGGAGAGCGACCATTATGGGATTTCCGGGCATATCATCCGTCGATTCCGTGCTTATTTGCGATCTTCGTGCCATCGCCATTCTGTAGTAGAGCTCGATGTCATAACCCGGGTTTGTAACGAATAATGGCGGATGCGACAATTCGACGTCTTCTTTTTCCTTCACGGCGGAAGCGAAGTCATAGCAAAACTTGCTGTGCGCGTGGATTGCGGTCGCTAATTCATGAATCGTCAGATATTTTGAGTCCTTGTTCAGCAACTCTGCTTCTTTGCGTTCTTCTCCCCAGTGTGGGTGTAGCGCTATTGACGCTACGTTGGCCATTTCAAACAGATTCTTCACTGGCTTGGACCGCGCCAGGTCACAGCGGAGCCCCGGCAAGCCAACTTGAGCTCTCGTGTTGAATATTCCGCATTGACAAGGATGCAGTAAGTGGAGCGGGTCAAATCGTGGGTCTCCGACCTCGACTCTGAAAGAAGTACGATTAGCTGATACCCTACCATCCACCTTTTTGGGTCCGCCCCTCTTAGCTCTACGCCTACTTGTAACTACCGGTTCGTTGTCTATGCCCGGTGGCAACTTCCGGAGTTGGTCAAAGGGGATACACAGCGGGTCTTTATTCCCAGTAATGGCCGTTATTGTGGCGCTATTATCACTAACTCCCAAGACTCTGAACGGTCCGGTCCATTCATTCACTAACTTGGGATGGCATGTGTTTCCCTTCTCGGTGGGTACCCGCATGTAGACCCTGTCACCCGTTTTGAGTGGATTAGCCACCACGTTATGGTTTCTATCGTAACTTTTCTTCATGGCTTCGCGCTCTTTCTCATTCTTTTCTCGCGCATTTTGCCAAACTATTTTCGTTCCCGCGACTAGCTCTTGAACGTAGTCGTCGAAATCAACCATGTATGGTGNGGGACCACTCTCCTCACGTTTTCTTTGTCCAGGACGCACAGGTATCCGTCTTGAAGCATGAAATTGGCTACTTTCATCTTCCGGATTTGATTTGGAAAGACTACCTCCTCTGAGAGCATGCCGTGCTCGAGTGCGGTAATCACCTTTCCATATATGGCATCCTGCCTGAGTTCTCGCGTCCACTCGGGTTCTTCCGTTGTGGAGGCGACTATCAACTCGTTTGGAATGCTGGTATTTTCTTCCAGAGTTGCCGCGTCTACCGCTCCTCTGCTCAGCGCGTCGGCAACCCTGTTCGCAGCTCCTTTGACATACACAAATTTTATATTGTATGCCTGCAACTCCAGTGCCCAGCGAAGTACCCGCGCCGATACATTCGAGCGTGTGAACAAGGCTGTCAATGGTTGGTGATCCGTATAAATATGGATGGGTAATCCGTACACAAACATATGGAACCTTCGCAATGCTGTAACTACAGCAAGTGCTTCCAAATCTGTGATATGATAGTTGCGTTCGCTCTTATTCAATCCCTTCGACGCGAAGAATATCGGGTGTAGGAAGTTGTCGTCCCCTTTTTGGCTCAACACTGCACCTACACCTGAGTAACTAGCATCTGTATGGATGCAAAACGGCTTAGCTCCCGAACGCGCTCCATCAATGTCTGGTTGTGCCAACACTGGTGTGGAAGTGAGAGCTTCTTTCAGCGTTCCGAAAGCATCAGTTCGCGACTTGGTCCATTCGAATTTGGTTCCCTCCGACGTCATTTCGTGGAGTGGAGCTGCGATTTTCGAAAACCGCAAAATGAATTTCCGGTAGTAGGAGCACATTCTTAAGAAAGTTTTCAGTTCCGAACGCGTCTGAGGCGTTGGATACTCGCGAATAGCTGAAATCTTCTTGGGATCCGCGTGCAGTCCATCTCTGTCTAGGACATGCCCCAAGAACTCGACCTTCGGTTCCATGAGTATGCACTTTTTTGGATTGAGCTTCAGTTTCGCCGAACGTAGTCTTCCGAAAACTTCCCCTAGCACTACCATGTGGCGCTCCTTGGTTGCGGTAGCTACGATGATGTCATCAAGGTAGCACNCGTTATGCCGTTCTCACGTGGGTTGTAACCCTTTGTGAAGATCTGCCGGATACCCATGATAGATGCCAACTCAGACATCAACTTATTATCGAATTCTCCTCCTTGATCGGAGAGAATACTCTTTGGTATGCGGCATCCGTCTGCCATCCAGCGTTCGAAAAGCGTGCGCGCTATTGTTTCCGCTGATTTCGAGGCGACGGGATATGCTCCTCCAAATTTGGTGAAGTGATCGATTACGGACAAGATGTACTTGTTCCCGCTGGAAGTGGGTCCCTTTTCCAAAAGGTCCACGCCTATCATCTCGAATGGCCGTGTTGAGACTATTGGTTTCAGTGGTGGCGTCATCTGTGACTGCGCATTGAACAGAGTGCACTTTTTACACTCTTTTGTCCACAGTCGCACGTCTCTGGTCATAATTTCCCAAAAAACTCTCTTGCTCAATTCCCGCAGCACCTTTCTGGCTCCGAAATGGCCTGCTAATAGCGCAGAATGAGCATCATGGAAAACTTGCTTTC